AAGCGGTGCTTGAAGACGACGGCGGCCAGCACGCTGCCCGAGCGGTTGTCCGACCTGACGTACTCCTCAAAGTCCCGCTCCGAGGCAAAGCCCTGAGCTGCCGAGGGGGGGAAAGACAGAGATGGGGGCAAGGGAGCACAGCAGCTCATCGCGGGCCAACGCTCAACCCTCGGCACAAACACCGTTTTGATCCAGGACACCGGACCAAATTTTCCATCATTGCCACCATTTTCCCACGCCAGAGCTGGGAAACGGCGCTGCCGTCAGGCACGGGGGACTTATAGGGGATGCTGCTCTGCCCATCGCGGGGTACCCTGACAGGTCCTCCTCCTCCTCCTCCTCGAGAGCAGCCGTCAGCTCTCCCTTCAGAGGAAATCTAATGTCATCTCCAGTTTGGAACACGAAGCGCTAAAGTTTTCTGCGCAACAGGATTTCCAAAAATCCTTTGTCTCGGGGAAGCGACAGCCATGTTCTTTAACTATTTTAGGGCAGCATTCTTCTAGATGAAAACTGCACCAAAACGCAACGAAAAACCAAACCGAGATCCCGGGGTTTTAGCGAAACAAAAATAAAACCATCGCCTTGAAGTTCTGATAAAATCGACGCGTCCCTGGGATAGAGCATCAGGATTTATCAGGGTAAAACTGCGTAGCAAGTTGTGGGGTGGAAGCTGCAGCTCCCGGCCCCGGCTCACCTCTGATGCTGATGGGTAAAGCCCTCTCCACCGCCTCGGCAATGCTCCTGACGGCGCTGCTGTTGGAGGGGACGTAAGCCAGCTCCCAGGGGTTGCTGGGGTGCCGGTGGTAGAAGAAGCCCGGCAGGTCATCCACGGACTCGGGAGGGTAGACGGTGGCGTTGGGGTGGCTGATGGAGTGCACCCGGTGCCGCAGCGCTATCAGGATGGCGGCGAAGAGCAGCGGCAGGCAGATTTCGATGACCGTCACCAAGATCTGCCGTTTCTGCAGGAAAGATAAAGTCAGCAAAAAACAAGATGTAAACACTGAAGGTAGATCAAACACAGTAACGAGGTTCAGGGCACGCAAATGCCACGCAGCAGAAGCGTTCTTGCATTTCGCGAGGTGTCACAACCTGGGTTTTCCCGGAGCCCAGGAAGGACGCTGCGCCGTTTCCTGCATCCTCCGGGACCTTCCAGCCAAGGCATCCCCT